TTGGTTTGGTTTGGTTGATTTTTCGATTTTTTTGTCCACCCCTAGTATCATCTTTCAAAACAAGCCATAAAAAAATTCACTTTACAGCTGACATGACACGTGTGGTTTAACATGTCTCCTATAGAATAATTCCCTGCGTACAGAGAATTATGTGCTCGTATGGAGCAATTTTTTTTGTTTGTTTTGGCAAAAACCAATAAAATTCTGCTATGTGTTTTCTGTGAAAAAATTCCGTGAAAGTATTCTGCATGCCCTTTGCAGCCTATCTTTCCAATTCCTAGCATATCTAGTATGGAATATTTAGATAAATTGACCTTGTGAAAAGACTAAAAAATACTTAAAAATAATTGTGACACACCTCAATGAGTGTTGTTATGACTCATTATTAGGGACTATCACGTGGCCATCGTAATTAAGTTGTGGGACCCGATCCAACCCAATCGCCATGTCTCTTTCTATGAAGACCGATGCCCCTTATCCTATGCTCTATTATCAGCCGAGTCCCAACTGTTTCTGAGGCACCTTCTGGATCCGAGGCTCCCCAACTCGTGACGGTCCATGTGTATGGATTTGCCATGATAAAGATTTTTATTCAAATTATTAATGTGACATTTGTAAAAAGTGTATTTATGTCTTGTCTTGTCAATATTTGATAGTTAGGATATGATGTTTCGATCGAGGAGATGAGGCCACATATAATTTGATCCGATGGTCACCATTCAATTTGTCACATTACAAATACTCACACCATATAACAATTGAAGGCTAATGAAACTTTAAATACTCAAAGCAACATATCTTATGCTCTTATCAGTTTATTACAACTACAAATCTTATTCTTATCGATTGATCATTATACAATCTTGTTTCGTAAGCCCCGTCGGAGCCTAAACGGAAATGTCTCGTGTCGTTGAGCTTCTCCCACGTCCAATCATTGGAGCGATCCCGACCATTGATCTACCGTAATGTGCCGGATATGGCTTGCGCATACACAAGTGGGTCGAGCATCTGTTGAGTTCATTTTTTGAGGTCAACAAATCCTATCTTGATATAGAATTCAAGATAGTAGTTTATTTTGTCACTATAGTTCACCATTGACATGTATTCAGTCCAGTGGACCGAAGAGAATATTGTATGATGTATCAAATATGTTGACCAAATATCAAAAAGTTTGATCCGTTGTAAAATAATGTAACTAACGTAATAAAATAATAGGAGAAGCTATAAAGAGACACGAAGAAATGGTAGAAAGAATTCTCTTTTCATCACTTATAAATGGTATGTCATAGACGTGTATTTATCGACATGCAAAGAGCGTTCCAATAGACATAAGTTACAACACTCAACTTTGACTGTAATAGTTGTTTCATGAAAAAACATTTTCAAGAAAATTAACAAAATCTCAGTCAAGAAAAAGGAGTAAAACTCATTACTTCCAATAATAATAATATTTGAAATCTCTAAATTAGAGCTTTCTAATGTTATTAATCGACCTCTCAAATTTGTAGTCGGTTATGCTTTTGTGAACAAGCCCTGCTACATGAATCGATGATAATAAATTGTGAATAGATAAACTGGTTAAGATTGGACTTTATGTAAATCTTACATATCAATACTATGTATCATACTAACGAACTAGTTCTAAGTTTAAATAAAAACAAACCTTAAATAGTTGTTCCTCGAATATAACAAATTATATGTTTTACTATACATCTCTAACTATATCTTGTAAATGTCATGTTAGAGTCAAACCCTGGTTCTTTTGTTGTTGCTCCCAGATTTTTTGTTGGTAAAAACGTGTTTGGAGAAACACGCTTTTATAAGTGAAACATTTTCTCCTAATGACTGACACATGCATTGCTTCTGACCGTTGGATGGTTGATGAGTTTTCATTTGGGCTCGATGGCTCTTACGTTACTTGGACGTTTTATTCATTCTAGAGACTTCTGGGGCTCCTGCGTGTTGAGATAAAAAGAGAGAAAGAGGAAGTGTTTTGATTCACTTAAAATCTCTAATTTTAAGTATTGTGTGTGATAGAGTAACCTTTATTGTGTAATATTCTGAGTGAATACTGTGAGAATCTGTATGATTTCTCTGTTGTGGATTTTGGTGTTGTTCAAAGGGTTATTTGAAGATATCTTGGTAAATCTTTGTAGATCTATCACTGTATTTGAAAGATAAGTCTCTTATTTCATCTCTCTGAATATTTGTAACTTTCGTTGCCATTTTGGACTGTTTTTAGTGCAACTAAACATAATTCCTTTCTTGGATGCTCAACAGAGGATGTAGATGTTAGAAACGGTCACCAAACCTCCAGGGCTACGGCCGAAATTATTCTTTGGTGTTAATCTTTAATTTGCTGCAGTTTACTTACAGTTTGATTCTATTATTCTTGTTTCTCGATTCTTATATTGTGTGTGGTCTTGGCTTTACATGTCATAACAGGTCATGCACCATAATATTCTTTAAGCAAACAAATATTCTTTTTCTTTAAGAGCTATACAAAATAGCGAGTATTTTTAAATTCAAAGAATACAATTTTTTTTTTATATACTCCAACAATGCTTTCTATTTTGTATCTTCATTTTTCTTTTTCCAAGAAATATGTAATGATTCCCCCATCATATTTTAATTTAACATATTTTTTATGTCAATGTTCAACCAATTCAAATATGGTTTGAATATTTTGAAAAGTGGAGTATTGAAATCCACATCTTATAATTTACAATCATCATAAATTAAGAATAGAGAGTGATGCAGGAGGGTCCGAGTCAGATACTGAATTGTCGATAACACATTAATGGCTTTAAGGATCACGAGTTGGCAGATTGGCCTAAGGATGGCAAGTGATCGCATAATTTTGACAATTGAGTCGTGTTTCGGTAATTTGTCCACAACTTTGGCTACGGTTATCAGAATCGCGATTATGACCACAATCCGAAAAACTCGTTTCGGGGTGCACGTTGTGGCCACCAATCTTTGCTAGGTGTGTGCCGTTTTTCATCCTCAAATTTAGTTGTTTTCCCTTTCGAATTGCTATTTTTAATTAATTTTTGCTACTTTTGTAATATTTCAATTGCATGTTATGAGATGATTTTTAACCCGATTTAGGTTAGATTTTTTTTGCAGAATACTTATTTTATTCCGTATTTTCGTTTGGCGTGATTTTTGAAACTTTGCCATTTTTGGTAAAATTCGAATTTTGGCTATAAAGTCTAGATTGTGGACTTATTTTGATTATTGCGTGATATAATAAAATTCTCTAAACTTCAGAGACATTTTTTCTGTGTTTTTCAGCGTTAATTTTGTGTTCTTCCCTATGAAATTGCTGGTAAAACTAGTATGCAAAATAATCACTATTTTGTCCGGCGTCAGAGTGAGTTTAGAGAACAAAACTCATTCTCCATTTTAAAAAGTTAAATAGAGTCCTTGGAGATTGTTTCTATATATTGACTTTCTACAATATAGAGCATCTTATAATAAGAGAGTCTCTTAGAAATGTGGAACATTCTAAACTCTCAGAAGAATTTTTTATTTAATAGAATATGGCAGTAGGCAAAAGACTCTTGAAAATGCTGTAATATTCTAAACTTTCTGTGAAACGGATTAAACGGAAGTTAAAATTATTGTCAATTGTATTGTTTAGTTAAGTCTTGTAATATTGTGTCATGAACATGCCTGGAAGGTTCCCTATGAGTATAGTATTCATATTAATAATCAGCATCTTGTAGGGAAACCTTAGGATAGTAGTGTTTCACACAAACAATTAATGGTCCCACTGTGAAACAAACCAAATACTTAAATCCTTGATTAACAACTAAGAAACAATCACAAGTAATTATTAAAAAATCTTAGCTGCACATGAATGGTAGTTGTAATAAAATATATTATTATTTTGATCCAATGTTAGTTCATCTATCAATTATATTCATAATTAGGTATATGTGCATGAACAGTGGGAACATCATGGGACACAGTCACATGGTATTTGTGTAAAATCTTCCTATATAAACTAAACTTTCCTTCATAATTTGCATCCTGTCTATACATTGCATTTCATTTTCCGATCTTTAATTCTTGTTTTCTTTCTTGTATTATGGCTAGCACTGTAGTAATTGAGACTTCTTACTTGAACGATATCGAGTTCTCGGATATCGACAGCGTCCTTCTCGAGTCATTACTTGAGGAGTCACCAATAGAGGGTGGAGACGGAGAAATGTCAAGATATGTAATCCAATCTCTAGAAGAAGAGATTTTGGAATATAATTCGATGCCCGGGACATATGAAGAGTGCTGTGTGGATGATTGCCCATCAATCTATTTTGATTTAATGGACAGTTGTTCAACAGCATCTGATAGTCTTGATTTTAGTTGGACAAGAGATTCTATGACAAATTATTTGATGGAGCATGGTGTAGAAGAATTTGTAGGGATTGAGGATTATTCACAAGATTATGGGCTACCCTTGGAGGAGATGGGATATATATCATTGTGGCAAGAAACTTATCAGTACACTACATATGGCTAAAATCTAGTAGTTTTTTCATTTTTGTTGTCTTTGAATCAAAAAAATGATTCAGTTTATTGCACTCTTGCTATGGCAATACTTGATATTTGTGTACGTTTTAATACTAAAGCATTGAACTTCATATGTCTAGATCTATCTTGATTTTCTAAAGTTCGAGCATATAGAATAAGCCAGTTCATTTTGGATGCTGCATATCTGTTACATTTGTCTTTCAAACATCAGCCGCACCCCCTGTTTTTCACATCGAGAATTATTTGCACGCGAGGAGTCACACGTCAATTACTATACCCAACTTTCTTAAAAGAAAAAAAATTCTGTAATGTTGGTTCAAGTTCTATCACCTTTTTCCTTTTGGAATCTTGACTAATTCCATTTGACGGGCTAATAAATCTTAGAGATCTGATCCTTTATAGAATAAGCCAATTCATTTCGGACGCTGCATATCCATTATTTTTTATTTCAAATTTCTATCAAATGTTGGTTAAAGTTCAATCTCCATGTTGCCTTTTGGAATCTTGACTTCCACTCGAGCGACTAATATATCTTAGATATGATCGTAGAATAAATGAATCTGGGGGGCATATGCCAAAAAATGCTTACCTGGGGAAACCCTTTCTTATATAGAATTCAAGGTTGGATCTGTATCCTTTAAAAAATTTCTTTTTCCTCTACTTTTTTAAACCACTAGACGATAAAATATATTAAATATTACATATTTAATTTACGAAGGAGCTCTATGTAACCTTCAACTAAAGGTGCGGAAAAGAACTAAGAGCTTGTTTGAGAGAGCTTAAAATTCAATTAAAATTGAAAATATAGTCGTTATTGGATCCCATCAATCTAATAAAAGTCAACAATAATGACTAGTTTTTCAATTTTATTCCGATTTTAATCTCTACTAAACACATTCTAAATTTCTCCATCTGCAAACGGGGAGTACAATGTAAGAGTTAAAGAAATGACATTTCGTTCGCCTTAACTATACTCTTTATCGTCATACTCTAGTGTAGTGTCTTTTCAGCTCAAGATCACATGTAGGGAGAATTTTTGGACATTACGGCTCTTAAATTTATAAACAATTTTTAAACTCTGAAATTTGACCAAGTTAATAATGTAGGCAGAAGCATGTAATGAAACTCAAGAATAAGCGATCCAAGCCTCGTTGATTTCAAACGAATATCGTAATATGATCGACCTTCCAATATTACATATATATAATTATGAAAATGAGGTAATTGCACAACAATAATAGTGTCATCTATGATCTAACATATCTTCATCATTTGTTAAAATGTAACATTAGTACTTAGACAGTCGAGACTATGTATCTTTACCTTTAGTATTTGAGCATAGTATAGTAGTGTTTCAAATGAACAAACTCAATTAATGTCTCTGCCAAATTAGGCTCGAGATAGTTAAATCGATGATGAAGTTGGTGGAGAGGAACAGGCACTTGCGTATTTAGAATGTTTGGATAGTCGGCATTCGAAGAAAATTGCGTAACTTTTAAATACAGTGTCTATTTTGGGCTCATGACCCCATTTCGGAAAGCTCACGACGATTCCCATTAAACTCATTGCTTTGCCGTGACATATGAGGGATTTTGGACGTTTGAATTCGTTTGCTAAGTCAAAACCGCATTTAATGTTTCTTAATTCATTATTTTCAGTATTTATTTATTTTGCTTTGTAGCCCAACCCATTAAGGGACTGCTAGCCCAGTAGGTTATCTGTTCTTTTAGTATTTAAAACTCTAAAATGTCTTTAAGGATTTTGGTTGTTCATAAAATAAGAAAAGTGTTTATTTTCTTAAGGTGCAACCCTTTTGTTAGTGTGTTTGTAGATTCGCTCTACATCAATCAAGTTAGAGCCAGTTTGTCACAAACAAATTATAATCTTTAAATAACTGATCGCGTGAAACCCTTAATTAATCCAAGCATTAGTCGAACCAAAAACTAGAAACTCAATATTTTTTTATGAAAAGACTTAAGAAATGCGTTATAACGATTTTTCAAAAAAACGAAACATGTAAAGGTTATTTAAGATTTTATAATGAACTAGAAATAAAAATCTACTTAGCAGCATATCTGCACTGAGTTACTAGTCTTGTTTCTGACGCAAAACGGAAGTTCTAGGGTTTACCAGTGTAATCCCCAACAAAAGAAAATTGTAAATCTCAAGAAAATAACCTAAAAAAGACCTAAAAAATTGTATTATTCAGAAAAACAAAGAGTCTTTAAATAGTCTCTGAAAATCCAAATTTAAGCAAAAAGATCAAAATAGACATCCACTTAATTAAAACAATTAAAAGCGAAAAAAAGGAACAAAAACTTCAATTGCCTGGTAGACTACCTTAAACTGCAAATTTGAGGCTGAAAACGACGTCTAGGGATGTTGTAGAGCGCTGCAAAACGTTTCCGAAAACATATTATAATAGAAATTATGACACTGGTACAAAAAGTTTTGCCCGTTTCTTCGAAACAGCTCGTTTTGCCAATTTTTGGTCCAATTCTTTTTCAAACTCTAACGCCAATTGTCCTACATCAGTTTCTCGTGAATTTCAATTGCTTTCTTGCGAACAAATTATCAACAATGTCTCTTTTAATTTACAGCATGTTCCACAAAAGTCCGACAATAATATTAGAGCTTTTCGTGATTGGAAAATAAGAATTTAAGCAAAAGCTAAGTATAATTAAAAGGGGAGTGCTAAAAGATAAGATGACAAATTAAAACTTCTATTAAAGCTTTAATAATTTTGCATTAAATTATTTTACCGTCTCTACACGGACTTTAATATGCAGAGTCAGCTCGGCTTGATTCGTAAGGATCAAGGCTCAACTCAGTGCATTGGATGATCATGGCTCAACTCGTTCGACAAGGCCGATCTTCTATTAAAGCTTCAATAGTTTGGCATCAAATTACTTCACAGTTATTTCATGGACTTTAATATAGTCGGATCAACTTGATTCACAAGGATTAAGGCTCAGCTCATTCGACAAGGCCAGTCTTGGCTCTTCTCGATCTATGAGGCCAATATGTCACATGCTGAGTCGATTTGAGCCTAGTCTAGTCCACGAGTGTTCAATTTTTATGTTTAGTTCCAGTATTACGATGGCTTGTGGATGAGCTAGGTGTTATGTCAAGTTTGGGCCGCTAAGCTTGCAAACTTACCTAAAATTCAGATTTTAATTTAAATTAAAGTCAACAATTAATTTTAATCACATATTTCATGAGTTTCATTACTTTTCAATCACACATTTTGTCAATTTTATCAAAATCTACTACAAATCGAATTTCAATCGCCACCAAACAGAAGCCTAGTCTATTTCTCCCCTAGGCCTCGTAAAAATAAAATAAATAGTTTTGATTATGCTGGATAGAATTAATCATGACTTTTGAAGTCATTAATATATATTAATAAGTAAAGTCATTTGTGCCCGGACGTGGACCCCACGATCCCCCTCACAATGAAGGGAGCCCGAGGTGAATAAAATAATGGGTGGGTCTCCCATTGTGAGGTGTGGGGTCGAGTACACAGGTGTGTAAACGCCCGTGTACCTATAGCAAAATCCTATATTAATTTTTACTTATAATTGTACCAAAAATTTGTGAATATATCTTTCCTGTACTCTTAGGGTGGAAGGAAGAAAATTTACTCAAAAGAGTGTGCCACTTGTCAATATTTGTACTCTTCTTTTTTAAGGGTCTACATACCAGTAAGTATATCTCTTTGATTCTTTATGGTATTAGGATGTCAATAATTTATGATGCACGAGCTTTTTCTAATAAAGTTGATGTCCCACACGCACTCTCTCGTAACACACATGAAGGCGTGGCGTGTTGTTCTTTTCCTTGAGAAAAAGGTGATTATTAAGGTAAAAAGTAATTATAAGTAGCTTTGTCTGATGTTGATTAGTAAAATTATGGTCTTAATCTACTTTTGGCAGGGTTTTTGGGCACTCGTAAGTTGTATCATATTGAATTTATATGAAATCTCGATAGAATTTGTCGGGTTCGAAGTAACTAATTGACACTTCGAAAGCGTCACAATCTGCGTTGTGGATGATCTGCTCCTTATAAAGTGTCGTTCTTTTCTAAACGATAGTTTAGCTTGACATGATATAAAAATATAAAGTGTATTAGGTCACCTCAAAGTTCGATTTAATCACTCTAAACCTACTTCTAGTCGAGCTATGTGTGGTACTATGGATTTGAGATGACCGAACAAGATAGAAATGCACGTTAAAATTTTGCGAAATGCTCCCGTACAATCAATTTAGTCAACAATCCCAAACATATATATCGTCTATCTTTAACTTAAAGTTGTATTTATTATTGTTTTGTGGGGTACTTTTTAAAAGGTATTGGTGAAACGTTGAATTTCAACTTTTTTATTTACTATGATAATTATATTAAAAATTTAAGATTTTCTACTGAAACGACTTATTAATGAACTGAAATAAAGTAAATCCAAACAAATCTTGAATTATTGGAACACTTACAGACCACAATGAACATATTTAAAGCAGATTTCTTCTTTACAGCAGGCAATTAAAAGTAGCTTTCTGATAAATTACCACTGCCAGTGTGTAAAATTTGTGATCCTCATTAGAATAATTATTTGGGTATGGTATCTTATGTGGTCTATGGCTATATCGAAGAGATGAAGTAAGTTTATTTTTACAATAATAAAATACAATTAATATATTTTCTTCTTGCGCACGTAACACTGAAATATTCAAGAAGGAATGAAGGATAGTCAGCTTTCACTCTCCATCTCGAAGTATTAGAACTTTGGGGAAGGATTAGTGTTTGCGAAGGAGACGGGATGAAAGCGATGCACTCCAACTCATTCAATGCATAAAACGTCCTCACTTGTTCGCTTAAAATGAATTATTAATTTTTGACTTTGTAGTTTTGCTTTGTGAATTATGGTGTGGTTCTTGTTATTTTGTATTATCCATTCACTTGCTTTTTTTGTTACTTATTTTTCGATTTGCTTGCAATTGGAACGATTATACCCCTTATTTTATTTCGTCGAATGTTCAAAGCAATAAATTATAATAAAAGTTCTTTTTTGGTGCTTTCTGTAAAAAAAGAGAAAAAGAAAGAAAGAAAAAAACTTTGCTAATTGTTCGATCTCATGGAACAAAAGGTGTTATAATTGAAGGATAAAAAACAAGAAAAAAATATTAATTCATTGAATTATTAGTAATTTTAAAGTAAGAAGTAATAAAGTCAATGCCTTAATGTAGGGAACGACTTTGGTACCATTTTGGCTCTTTCCTTAGCAATTTTTTTGACACTGATAAAGAACCCGCCTATTCCAATCACTCTTATCAAAAGAAGTTCATTCATTCATGCAAATCCCTTTTCATTTTCCTTCACTATTTCACAAATTGACCAATTCTTTCCTCAAATCAAAAGCAAAAGCGAAAAAGATTACATCCCATAAACAAAAAGCAATCAACGAAAAGCAAAAAAAAAACTCATTGAAAATTAGCAACAAGATCATGCATATACACCTAAGATCCCTTTCTGTAAATACTCCACTTTCCATGCATTCTCACTACTCTTCTTCACCACTAAGCTATTGCCTCTCCAAGCAATGGCGGAGATTGTTCTTGCAGAACCCACAAATGACATTGCTAGTACAAGCTATGGAAGAACGTATATTTCAAGTGATACAAGGCCATTTACAAGATCACTCACTTATGGGAGAGAACATGTGCCTGAACCATTTGATAGTGAGAAGTTGCCTGTTACTTTGGTTTCTCATATTCAAAAATTTCTTCGAGTGGCGAATCAGATTGAAAGTGAAGAGCCTCGTGTGGCTTATCTTTGTAAGTCTTCGTATAGTTAGTTAAAGATTGAAGCTTTTTACGTGTTGAGTTATTGTGAATTTTGGTGGAGATAATTTGGGCTACTTAGTCCAAGTTATAGCATGTATTAACTAGATTTTGATGTATTGGGGTTTAATCATTTGTGTAGCACTGAATTGATTCGTTTTTATGCGTTTATTTCTTCTAAATTTGTTTATTTCAGCTTTTCATATAATGATTTTGGTGTATTTTGAAAATTGCTACTAGGTGGCAGTGCTATTGTACTCACTGTTGGTTCAAATTGTTATAAATGTCTCAGAATTTGATGGATTGAACTATAAATTATCAGTTTCTGTAGTGTTCTGCAAATTTGTTTATGTCAGCTTTTCATAGAATGATTTTGGTGTATTTTGAAAATTGCTACTAGGTGGCAGTGCTATTGTACTCACTGTTGGTTCAAATTGTTATAAATGTCTCAGAATTTGATGGATTGAACTATAAATTATCAGTTTCTGTAGTGTTCTGCAAATCCTTTTGATATCAGAGGATCCTGCAAGGTTCATGTAAAATCTTAGTTTGGGAACGATTTAGTTATCACTTGTGCATCCTAAGAAATGAAAGTTGATCCATGTTTTTCCAGGTTGATTAAATTTCTCAAGGAAAATTTTGGAAATAGGAGTTCTTGATAAGTTTATTGAGTAGGAAATTAATTAAAGATTAGCCCCTTTTTCTCAATATTTGAGAACCTTTGTGAAAAGGAGAATTGATCAAGTTATCTGGCCAGGTCGTTTTCATGCTTTTGAAGTAGCACATAACTTGGACAGAAATTCAAGTGGTCGGGGGGTGCGACAATTCAAAACTGCTCTTCTCCAGCGGCTTGAACAGGTAATTTTAAACTTCAAGCCTCAGTTGTTGTTGTGTTGAGATATTTCTTTATTTCATCCTTGCTTTAAAATTCACATCTTATAAGCCACTTACGATCATGATAAAGGTAAAAGCATAGCATTATGATGCATAGTTGGAGTTTTTATCAAATTTCTTAATAAAGCATTGCCACACTGTGTTGTCATAATTGACGAAGCTTTACATTGGATTGTATCTTTAAGTAGTTGCCATTTTCACCTCCCCTCTGAAGACACAGCAGAATCGTTTCTGATCATGAAACTAAGGAGCAGTTTAGGCTCGACAAAATGGAAAGGCCTATTCACTTCTTATTTCTGTTATCACTAAAGATTTATGGCCTGTTCATTTATGTTTATTTCTTTATGCCTATCAATTAAGTCCAAACTGAGAACAGTAATGCAGAACAGTAATGCGGAAAACAAGATGTCTCCGAGATCTTTTCCATTTTTTGAAAGAGACTTTTAATTTGTAGCATATGTTACTAATTTCCAGTTTATACACTTCTTTTTTTCTGCAGGATGAAGAAGTTACAATTAACAAAAGAAAGGACAAGAGTGATTTGCGTGAACTAAGACGTGTATATCGTGAGTACAAATACTTCATCATTGAACATGGTGGAGAATGTACTTTGGAAAATAGGTGACTTGTTCTACTTTGCTAGGATATGCTGATGTTCATTTGCTCGAATGAACTATACAAAACAATTTTTTTTTTGCTGATGAAATAAATATGAATGTTTTCACAGAGATAAGTTGAACAAAGCACATGCCATTGCACAAGTTTTAGACGAAGTATTAACTACAGTTACCACCGCAGCGGGTTCCCAGGTTTTCTTTGTGCTCCTTTTCCTTTTTCCCCTTATTCTAGCATTCTCATATTTTGGTAGACTTAATAAAATCTCCAGGGAAAACTGACCATAAAACTCGTAACTATCTAGAAAATCACTCTTATATCAGATATTTTGTTTCGATGTTTTGCTTCTGACAGGCTCTTGCAGAGACTGACAGTATTAGTGCAAAGTCTGAATATTTTGTGCCATATAACATCCTCCCTCTTGATCGAGGAGGTGTCCATCAGGCAATAATGCAACTTCCTGAGGTCAGATGTTCTTTAATTAACTACTCACATTCCTTTAACACGGCTATTCTTGCAAAGCATAAATTTCTACATGTCATTAAGGATCTCACTGCTTTAACAGCCAAATGTTGTTTATTCAGACAGTTCTATAGGCAATCCATTTTTTTGATTAAATCAGCAAGTTAATTGCAGTGTGATTACACTGTCATATATGAAATGACCTTTGATAAAATATAGAAGTCTACAGATCAAAGCTTCAGTGGCTGCTGTTCGCAGTGTTCGTGGTTTACCCTTTGTGGAAGATTTGAAACGACGAGCAGCTTACATAGATCTGTTTGATTGGCTTCAGTTTTGCTTCGGATTTCAGGTATACCTGCTTTTCCCGGTTTTTCTCTCTTCTGACTTGTAATTTCTTTATTTAATTTTGCTTTCGCGTGCTCTATATTACTTTAGTCAAGCAAAACAGCTTAAAATATGATAGAGAATTGGTTAATGAGTTTCTATATCATTGATTTCTCACTTTCCAATTTTTGTATCTTCAAGTGAAAAGTATATCTGTGTTCTACTATTTACGCTGGCACTGTTTGTCTCTTGTCAGAAAGGAAATGTAGCCAACCAGAGGGAGCATTTAATCCTTCTCCTTGCTAATACCCATATTCGACAAACTCACAAGGAAGCATCACCGTTAAAGGTGTGCCAAGTACTGTAACATAATTTCAGTTCATATATTCCTTTTGTCCTTTTTCTCCATGAGAATTCCCTATGCTTTTGGATATTAGATCGGGGATGGAGTTGTGGATGGACTATTGAAAAAGTTCTTCAAAAATTATAAGGATTGGTGCAAATTTCTGGGCAAAAAAAGCAACATTGAGTAAGATTCTTTGAACTGAAACATGTCTTTTGCTACATGGAACTGTTCATGAAACTATATTCTTAATTTTCTTCTTTATCCAATTTCATTTACTATTTCATTTTCAGTAACACCAAATTGTAATTTATTTTCTTTTACAGGTTACCATTTATAAAACAGGAAGCACAACAATATAAACTTCTGTACATATCACTTTATCTTCTCATATGGGGTGAAGCTGCAAACTTAAGGTTTATGCCAGAGTGCCTCTGTTACATATTTCACCACGTAAGTTGAGATTTTGTTGCTATCAGTTTCTTCACTGATATATTTTCTATTTTCCAGTACTCAATTTTGAGAACATTGTTTCTAATATGTAGTTTGTCACTAGTGTTTTCTTGATCAAACTTCAGAATTTCAAGACTCCATAATGCATGAAGCATTAAGGTTTACTACTTTTTGGCACTCTTTTAATATTTTAGGATGATGTCCTCTTTGTTCAGATTCTCTTCCCCCACACTCCACCATATTCAGAGGAGTAGACATCGCTTGCCAAATTTATAGGGATACAGATTCAGTGGTTGGCCTCTGAAACATTCATATTAGATTTCCCTTGAAACCTGTGAATAAATTATTTTCAAAGTTTGGTTGCTAAAATCAGTTAATAGAAAGAATACATCTTTTTTTGCTTTTTATGTACTTTTTCTTGTTTGCTTCTCATATTGTCATAGAGTTGTTGGAAAAGGTAGAGTCATATTCTGCAGTTATAGTTTGGTTAAAACTCCTTTAGTCTTGCTAGTAAGATGGAAAATAGGGACTGAACAGGATATGTTTAGATGTGCAATGATTGATGCCATCCTCTAAGAGTTCAGGCTTATGGGGATTGACGAATTTCATTTTCTAACAAATTTAAAAAAAGTAGAAGGTAGTACTAGTTAGAGAACTTTTACCACATAGTCAATATGCTCTATCCTTCGTTCTCAACTAGATGAAATCTGCAGTTTGTTCTTTTTGGTTCACATAATGGTTAAAGACTATTTGAATATTAGGTTGTCTGTTAATATAATTTCTCTGATTTTAATTTAATTCAACAGGTTTAGGTTTAGAGCTCATGCATGTGATATTACTGTTAATTTAGTGGTGTTTTTTTACTTCTATTTCCCATTTGCATTCTCTTTCAGATGGCATATGAAATGCATAATGTATTGACTGGGGCTGTAAGCATGATTACTGGAGAAAGATTCATGCCAGCATATGGTGGAGGATCTGAGGCATTCCTTAATCTTGTAGTTTCTCCAATATATAAGGTTATAAGTCAGGTACTATGAAACAACAAGTGCATTTTCCTATGTCGTTTTTAACATGGTCTCTAATGTTTTTCACTAATCACTGAAGGAAGCTATGAAAAACAGAAATGGAACAACTGATCATTCAACATGGAGGAACTATGATGACTTAAATGAGTTTTTCTGGTAAGAACACTCAAACTATATTCTTAGGTTAACTTGAATATGTAGTTTTGCTGATTTTTCACCAGTGACAGTTGTTTTCATGTGCTTGTTGGTAAAATTTCAGGTCTCCAAATTGCTTTGAAATAGGCTGGCCCATGCGTTTAGACCATGATTTCTTTTGTGTACAGCCATTAAACAATGGTAAAAAGAAGAAATCCTGGATACCACTCAGGAAAAGTGAAGGAAAGAAAAGCAATATAAACGAAGATGAAGAAATGGGAGTAAGCCATACTTTTCGAACTACACATGCACATTATTATCGCAAGACAGATTCCATGTTGACTCCTTCCATTAGATGCCCATACATGCGAATTATCTCCTGATAGTTTGTTGTAATCAAATTTGCATTTGTGACTTTTTCATGCTCCATGGGAGAAAAAAATTTATAAACTATTTTCACATTTTAGTGACCTTGTTCTAGAAAAAAAGGGTTTCAGAAATTGGTTTTCATAATTTTAAGTTACATTCTTTTTCTTCGTCTTTGTTTATCGAGCAGATAATCAGCCAGTACCAACATAAGAACCAGCATGGACTAATATTATAAAACCTTCACTCACCTTTACATCAATACATTTCAGACCCCACTGGATGAAACGCGGAAGCCAAAATGGCTAGGAAAGACAAATTTTGTAGAGATACGTTCATTTTGGCAGATTTTCAGAAGCTTTGATAGAATGTGGAGCTTTCTTATTTTATCCCTTCAGGTGATTTTCAAGAATCTACTATTTATACCTTATAAAGGATATTTGGATAACTCTTTTCTCTTGGTTTCTCTTAGGCATTGATAATTATGGCATCTCATGATTTAGAATCTCCATTACAAATATTTGATTCAACAATACTCGAGGATGTTATGAGCATCTTCATTACATCAGCGGTTCTCAAACTAATTCAAGGTACAGTACATGGTAGAGGCAATTCATTCCATTCGATATTTCCTCAAATGAAGTAAAATTCTTTATTATACTAATTTAGGGAAGTCATTTTATGGACGTCAATTGACAAGTTTTTTAGCTACTTATTCTGGTGTGCTGTGAGGCCCTGGGCGGCAAGGCTGTTTTAAAGGGAATGAGAAGAAATGAAGAGTCAGTGTGATTCGACAGATTCATAGAATGATGATTGCATTCTTTAACTTCAATATATTAACCCAAATAAAAGACATAACATTTCAATAAATTTTTATTCTCAATTTATATGGGCTTAGCTACATGGATGTACTACCTTAATTAACTCTGGCATGTGCTCATTCTTCATTTTAGAAAATCCAACATCACGTTCTCATCTCGGTGCCACTTAGTTTAAGTAAATGTTGTTTCTTCTAGTCCCATATTTGGTCCCATAGAAATTGCAGTCTTAGAAACTCTTTCTTCAGTCTTCCAAATTTGATTGATTGTGCAAAACTCTGTATACATTTCTCAGCTTTTCCTAACCAATCTTAGTCCTTTGAATGGATTCATAAAATTCTTCACGATTAAAAACCAAAGGTGCATTCGTTGGATGTTTCCATCTTTTCCTAGGTGTTTCGGAGCCAATAAGACTCACACTGAAAAAATTTTAGGATAATATTTGGTCATATTTGTGGAATTTAATTTATTAATTCCCAAGTTAGCCTGCTATGATTATTTTGGAAGGTATTAATCTATTCTAGGACTCTTTCCAATGATTATAATATATACTTTAGGGTAAAGTTTCTTGTTTGCATAGCTGGTTTTTTTTTTTTTTCGAACAACTATTTCCATATCTACAATGGAGTGTTCACAGTGGAAGCATAATTTGTGTGTTCTCTTCCTCTTTCTCTATGAAGTTATAGTGTTCGATTAGCATTACTATTTACCAGCCTCCTTTTCAGTGTACGTATTCAATCAATATGAAAACATTTCTCATATTGCAGCTATTCTTGACATTGCCTTCACATGGAAAGCAAGATACACAATGGACTCTGCTCAACGTATAAAAAATGTGGTTAAGGTGGTTCTGGCCATGATATGGACAATTGTTCTTCCTGTATTATACTCTAGATCTAGAAGAAAATACACTTGTTACTCCACGCAAAATGGTAGCTGGCTTGGAGAGTGGTGCTATTCTTCGTACATGGTTGCAGTTGCATTTTACTTAACTACTAATGCAGTCAGTATGGTCCTTTTTCTTGTGCCTGTGGTTGGAAAATACATTGAGACCTCCAACACTCGAATATGTACAATCTTTACTCTGTGGACACAAGTAAGAATTCAGTGTCCTTTTCATAACATTTTGAGATGTTTCTGGATTTGCTTCGATTGAAACTACAGTTGGAGTTTTGAGTCCACTACATATGAATATTGGACAATTTATTGGTGTCTGTTATACGACAGAGTTTTTTCAATATTCTTTCACCTGCTTCAGGTCCTGTTTCATATCAACAAATAGGTGGAGTATCCAAAAATAAAGATGGACAGATCATCATCAAATTTATATATTTGGATACATAGTTATTTGGTTTATAGTTCTGCATCATGAGAAACATGGCAAATACTTTGATTTGTCCATGGTCAAGAGTTTTTTTTTTTTTCAATTTTATTTTCTATCTTAGTATACTTGCTATTGGATCATTGTTGTCATGTTGTACTCTATGATACTTATCTTTTAATAGCCTTCCAGCAATGGAATGTATTTACTTTGATTTTGTAATCTATTTATTCCTTCGGCTTTTGTATTTATAGTTATTAATCCAAGCTTTCATGACATTTAACGAATTTCTTCACATTTTATAGCCTAGGTTATACATTGGAAGAGGAATGCAAGAGAGCCAAGTATCCATCCTAAAGTATTCTTATACTCTATACGCTCTAAAGTTTTCTGCTCTATCTTTATTTTTACTCATTCTTGTTCATTAGTGTGTATTCTTGTTGCTTTTAGGTACTCATTATTCTGGGTGTTGTTATTCCTCAGCAAATTTTCATTTAGCTATACATTCGAGGTGAGTAATTTTACTTTGTTTTGCTTTTCTCAAGAACCTGGTATAATCAAGTACATTGTTCGTCAATCCTTATGCGGATGACTAAATTAGCCAAGACACAGTTTGAGTTGATCCATTTGCATGGTAAAGATTGTGGTCTTGTTGTGTTACCTTAGCAAGGCACTTTTTTTGTCAACATAATTTATGATTTTGCACATAATCTGAGTGTAATGATGTGAAGGAAAGATTATGCAGGCTTACAAATTTACTTGTCCTCCATTGTGCAGATTAAACCGCTCATATCCCCTACAAGGCAGATCATGAGAATTGGGGTTAAAAACTATGACTGGCATGAGCTTTTTCCTAAAGGTGACGACCCCCTATTTTCCGTAATGCAATTTAAACAGTTGAGATGATTTATAGAAATTTAACTTGCGAACATCAACTGATGTGAATTTTCTAAATCCAGTGAAGAACAATGCTGGAGCCATTGCTGCTATTTGGTCTCCCATTATACTTGTAAGAGTCTAAAGACCTACCTGAATAAATGCTTTCATCATAATTGATTTATACCACTCATCCAAGATGCTTTTCATCGCAAGTGTTTAAGATCATATTCATTTTTCTTGTATTTAGGTGTATTTTATGGATGCACAAATATGGTATTCTGTTTACTGTGCTGTGTTTGGTGGTGTTTATGGAATTCTGCACCATCTTGGTGAAGTATACACAACTCCCATTTCTTTTATAGCCTTCTTTTTTCTTATAAATAGAATGATTGTATTCTTAATCCCCTTGTTTCAAACAGATTCGAACACAAGGAATGCTGCGAAGTAGATTTGACACTTTGCCATCTGCATTCAATGCGTGCCTTATTCCAAAACAGATAAAAGATAATAAAGACGGGATCAAAAAGTGGATCTTCCACCAGAAATTTCTGAAGGTTTGTTCAGTCTGAAATAGTACAACTACGACAAGTATATTGTTTCTGTCTGAATTGAGGTGAGTTTCAGGCTTCAGGAAATGAGAAGAATGGAGCTGTGAAGTTTGTTCTTGTATGGAACCAAATCATTAGCAGCTTCCGTGAAGAGGACCTGATAAGCAACAGGTTAATTATGTCTTATCGGATGTTTTTCTGATTTGTCTTTTGTTAGTCCAAACATGATATATAACATAACTGTGTTAATGGAATCAGGGAAATGGATTTGATGAAAATACCTGTCTCAACAGAGTTATTTTCTGGCCAGATCCGTTGGCCTGTATTCCTCTTAGCAAATAAGGTATTTGTGCACTTTCATAGTCATTTTTTAATGTGCTAGTTTATGCTTCTATGACTTACAAGGTTTCTTCTTTTCTTTATAGCTGTCAATAGCTCTAAGCATTGCAAGAGATTTTAAGGGAGAAGATCACAATCTTTTGAAAAGAATTAGAAAGGACAATTATGTGTACTTAGTTGTCATTGAGTGCTATGAATCTCTGAAGTGCATGTTGGACATCCTTGTGGTTGGTGACCTGGAAAGAAGGTACTGTAGGATTCAAGATTTCCCAAAACCAATTTCATGTTGTCATTAAAAATTTCCTCTATTTCACTTCCAATTCCTGACATATTACCTTCTCTTTGGTTTCTCTTGTATTTCAGTATCATTTTTGGTATATTGAATGAGATCGAGGAAAGCATTGGAAGATCATCACTTGTTGAGGACTTACGTATGAGTGAATTACCAGCTTTACATGCTAAATGTACTGAGTTGGTTGAGCTTCTGGTAAAACATCACTTGCCGAGTTTTAAGCTTACCTAAGTTTCCACAATTCCCCACTTCTCATGCCATAGTGATGTGATTCTTTGATTAAGGTTGAGGGGAATGAAAGCCATTACTATAAAGTTGTGAAGGCAATTCAAGATATTTTTGAGCTTGTAACAAATGATTTGTTGGTAAATGGTTCCAGGTTAGCATACTTCCTAAGCAATAGTTTCCAAGTCTATTGAGTACTATTTTTCTACATTCTAGTTCGTGATTGAGATACTGTCTCCTTTGTTAATGTAAAAGGACTTTGGATTTGCTTTACACACAGCAATTAGAGGGGGAAGATACAGAATTTTTCAGTCAGCATGAACCAGAATTATTTGCTTCAAAGCATTCTATCCATTTTCCTCTGCCGGATTCTGGCCCTTTAATGGACAAGGTACCTTGCTTCAAGCCAGTAATGACAAATTTTTGGTCCACAATTTGGGTTAAGTTCATTTTCTTCTTTCACGTGGTAGATTATACAGCTTACATTTTCACAGGCATGTACACATGTACACAAGTTCACATCAATATGAATCTAATGAATGAACCCCTTTTTTGAAATAGATTAACCGCTTTCATTTGTTGCTCACCGTCAAAGATAAAGCAATGTACATACCCTCAAACTTGGAAGCTCGGAGACGGATTTCGTATTTTTCTACTTCTCTCTTTATGGATATGCCTAAAGCTCCAAAAGTGCGCAATATGTTGTCATTCAGGTGCACACCAATAATATATTTTTATGTTCCTTTTTTGTTTTAGTTTATCTATGTTTGGCTACTGTCCCATCCATTTTAACTTTCTTCGTGACAAATTATAAATAAAGAAGAATAACAATCTAGTCAGTATAAAATTATGTTCTTCATTAAGATATCAATTCATTTGCTAATATCTCAAAGTGATCTTCAATCAGATAATTATTCAACTAAATTTCTTCTCTGATTTATATTGGCATTGTAGCTATCAATTGCATGGATGACAACTCCCATAATTCTGTTTGAGCTTTGAATTTTATAATCATGGACCTTAGTCTGGATTCAGATAATCCATAAACATGGATTGTCCTCAAACTGTTGATCTTCTTTCTATTGCAGCATTTTGACTCCGCACTTCATGGAAGAAGTCAAGTTTTCAAAAAAGGAGCTTCACACAAGCAAGGAAGCGGTTCCTATTAGCTTTTATATGCAAAAGATATATCCAGGTTACTATATATGGATCTGCTTTAGTATTAAGGGCGGAACATATCTTTCTTTCATATAATGTTGTCTGACACTTCTCTTTTAACTGAATATTTCACTATGTGCTCTCAGATGAATGGAGAAATTTTCTGGAACGTATGCGATGTGAAGAACTAAATGAAATCAATGAGGACAAACTAAGAGATTGGGCTTCTTTTCGAGGGCAAACTTTAAGTAGGACAGGTAAGTTATAAAGATTAAAAATTTCCTGTAATTGATTTTGTATTGAATGACCACCTCATCTAAAACATGAAACTGTTAGATTGGAGTAATTTATTCACGTATATTGTATTTTCAAGACGCTCCTCATGTGTGGCACTTTCTATAAAAAATTCTGATGCATGAAATTTCATAGTTGAGTCGCGATTCAAATTCTAGATAATTTCCTGTTCTAATACCAAATTGAGGGACTCCCTCTTCTAATAGTTTAAGTTGTTAGGGACAATACGAATTTATTAATTTATTTTTTATCTTGAACATTTTACTTTTAACTAAAAGTTTATACCGACATTATTTTCTTATGTTACAACAGTCAGAGGAATGATGTACTGCAGAAAAGCCCTAAAATTGCAAGCTTTTCTTGACATGGCCGAGGATGATGGTTTGTTGAATTAAATAATTATTTTTAATTTTTCCAGTTCAGTAATTGTTCTACAAATACTTCAGGAGCCAGCTTGAGACTTATTCACTGTGTCTGATCTGCTTACCAGATATTCTTCAAGGTTATGAATCCATTGATAGAGAAAATGGTACGTTATCAGCACAGCTTGATGCCATGGTAGATATGAAATTCACACATGTTGTTTCTTGCCAAATTTATGGATCACAAAAAGCTTCTGGAGATGCACAGGCTCAAGACACACTTGAATTGATGATAAGGTACTTATCTCTAGTCAAGACGGTTTCCTTGGAGTATGATTTCATCTAAACATCAACTGCTTACAGATATCCATCTTTGCGTCTTGCTTATGTTGAGGAGAAAGAAGAGATCGTGGCAGATGGGACTCCAAAAGTTTATTCATCAATATTAGTCAAAGCCGTCAACGGTTTTGACCAGGTAATAAGATATTTACATTGCTTATAACTTCATTAGAACAATTAGGATGAAAGAAAATACTATCACGTAATTGAGACCAAATTTCATGGAAAGTTTCGTATTTTGGAGGAATAATCATTGGACCAGAATTAAAAGTGAGGTTGTAGGAGTTAAACTGACACGAACAGGATTATAGTAGTTAGATTATCAATAGGAGGAGAGCATGTTAGTGTTATTAGTGGGTGTTCTGCAGAAATGGGATTAGATAAGGCAACGAAACAACAGTTTTGGGATGACATGGATGGTATGATTAAAAAACAATCACGGGTCAAGATAAGATCTTTGTTTGAGGAGATAGCATGTTTAGGAGTTGTTTATAATCGGTTTAAATTATAAATAGATAGAAATGAGTGGTGAATAAGTGTCTAACATTTGTGGGTCCCACAAATATTGAGATAAAAAGTAATTTTACCGATTATAAACAAGAGGCAAACAAGGGCTTAATGGTTATATGGGGAAATATAACTTATGCTGTAGAAGATTGCTTAAAACTTTTAGCTTTAGCTTCGAAAAGTAGATGATAATACCATTGTGGACTTTTGATATGGCTTAGCTAATACTTGCTTCAAAAAGAGAGAGACTTTCCATATAACTTCTAAAAATTGGCAAAAGTTCTGTTAAATTGATTTCATCCTAGTTTCTTTAGGTGGATAGGTGTTCGTGTACAGAATGTAAGGTAATTTTGGTGTTGACTACACAACATAGGTTGGTGAAAATGCTGTATGTGTTTGTAAATAGGAAGCCAAGAGTGTGATTTGAGAGTACTGAGCACATGTATATGAGAAGTTGTATTGTTTTCTTGGATAAAAGGATGGGAAGAAAGTTATTTACAAGATATCTCAAAAAGGGGAAAAGGAAAGTATATGTCTAAACCAAGTACAAATGGAAGAAATATTGCAATGAAATATATTAGGAAAGGAATAGTGTAAATATTGGGGATCTTTCAAATCTCCACTATAAATTGGTTAACTATACTCGAAGAGGTCAATTTTTTGAAGTGGGGGACACTACAAAGATAATGCAGATAAGAAAAGCATTTGGTCCAAATGGAATTCCTATTGAAGTATGGAAGTGTTTGGGCACGGTAGGTATATTTATTGAATGTTTATTTGGTTTTTCAATTTCTCCTTGTTAAATACTCAGCTTTTGTAGGAGATATATCGCATAAAGCTCCCTGGACCTCCAAATATTGGGGAAGGAAAACCAGAGAATCAAAACCATGCAATAATTTTCACACGTGGTGAAGCTCTCCAAGCAATTGATATGAACCAAGTATGCCCAACACAAAGTTTCAAATGATTAATATACAATGAACTTTGTCATAATGACAGTGTTATGACAGGATAATTATCTTGAGGAAGCTCTCAAGATGAGAAATCTCTTACAAGAATTTCTACGGGTACAAGGAAGGAGGCCTCCTACAATAATTGGCATGAGAGAGCACATATTCACAGGAAGGTTAGTCTAGGCTTCTTTACATAGTAGTTGCCTCATCATATACTTGGGATACAAATGGAAAGAAACTTCCTAAAGATTTTTATTTTCTCAAACAATAGTAAGTGTTTATGCTAATAGTTGAAGGTTGATGGGTATTATTCTCTCAGAATAATGCAAAATTTTAAAGAAACTTGCAGTACTACTGGCTCCCAGTTAAGGTGTTTGGGAGACCCCTTATCTCTTCGATACATTTTAAATAGGTTTATATTCAGTTTTATTTACTTGATGCTTAGATGATACATTTTAAATAGGTGTATATTCAGTTTTATTTACTTGATGCTTAGATGAATCGTTATTCTATCAACCAGAAATTTTTATATAAAATCTGGTTCTTGTTCTCTCCTCGAACCTCAGTATATGGTCTTAGTACTGTTCAATGTTTAAGATCATGACAAATATTTAATCAAGATGTTCAAAATGCTATCTCGGAAATATGTTCAACTATAAATTTTATTTTCATTTCTCTAATACTTATTGGGGAAGTGTGTTAATATCTGTTGCCATTTAATCTTGATAAGGAAGTTTATAACATTTGTTAGAGTTCTTGAGTATAGTTAGGTTATGAAGCATAAAAATCCTATAAATATATGATAAGGGAAATAGAATCACGTACATGAAACATAATGAAAAATGTTGTTTTTGACTATAGCTTGTATTCTACTGCAGTGTTTCTTCTTTGGCATGGTTCATGTCCTATCAGGAAACCAGCTTTGTCACCATTGGTCAAAGACTTCTGGCAAATCCTCTCAGGTAATTAATGCGTTAACTTGATGTCAAAAATCTTATAAAGGAATTAAAAAATAAAAGAATTGAGGCACACGAATCTTTTAACTTCTGAAGTTCAAGTCAAAAGTTCCTTTATCTCCAACTAAACGGTCTCTTTTCTGCCACTAGCATTGTTTAAGTTAAATATGGATATGATGGCTCAGGTTTTATTCATTGCTGATGGAATTATCTATATGGTTCAGCCGATATTAAAATATGTAACTATGATTACTTATTTTGACTTATTACAGGGTTAGATTCCATTATGGGCATCCAGATCTATTTGATAGAATATTTCACTTAACACGAGGTGGAATTAGCAAGGCATCAAAGACAATTAACTTGAGCGAGGATGTCTTTGCAGGTAAAGATTAATAAATTAAAGCAGTTGCTCTTTTTTTATATCTATTATAATATTTTGTTACAAGATAAACTGGTGTGATTAGGATTCAATACTACACTACGACGGGGATATGTTACATTTCACGAGTATATGCAAGTTGGCAAAGGACGTGATGTTGGACTCAACCAGATATCGAAGTTTGAAGCCAAAGTAGCAAATGGCAACAGTGAGCAAACTCTCAGCCGTGATATATACCGACTTGGACGTCGATTTGACTTCTTTCGGATGCTTTCTTGTTATTTTACTACGATTGGCTTTTATTTTAACAGCTTGGTAAGAATTATGGAATTATACAGTTTTACACTCTACCTTCACTTCAAAGTTCAGACAGAGAATAAATGATCTTTATTTAAGGTCATCCCCTTAATATTTGATGCACAGACTCAGTTAAAATTTTTGTTTTCTTGGATATGCTTGATGTTCTTCTGATTAATTTTGTGAGATTATTTGTGTTTTCGATTTGCAGATTTCAGTTATTGGAGTATATGTATTCCTTTATGGACAGCTTTACCTTGTACTTAGTGGTCTACAAAGAGCACTGCTCCTCGAGGCCAGAGTGAAAAATATTGAATCTTTAGAAACAGCATTGGCTTCTCAGTCATTTATCCAGCTTGGGCTCTTAACGGGTTTACCGATGGTTGTAGAGATTGGACTGGAGAGAGGATTTCTTACTGCCCTTAAAGATTTTGTTCTCATGCAACTTCAGCTTGCTTCCGTTTTCTTTACTTTTTCTTATGGAACAAAATCTCATTATTATGGTCGAACAATTCTTCACGGGGGTGCCAAGTATATACCCACTGGACGTAAGGTGGTGGTCTTTCATGCAAGTTTTACTGAAAACTACAGACTGTATTCGCGAAGTCATTTTGTGAAAGGATTTGAGCTGCTGCTACTACTAATTGTTTATGATTTGTTTAGACGGTCCTACCAGAGTAGCATGGCATATGTGTTGATAACATATGCTATTTGGTTCATGTCGTTGACTTGGCTGTTTGCACCATTTTTGTTTAATCCTTCGGGATTCAACTGGGGCAAGATAGTCGATGACTGGAAAGATTGGAACAAATGGATCAAGCAGCAGGGTGGGATAGGAATCCAACAAGATAAAAGTTGGCAGTCTTGGTGGAATGATGAGCAAGCCCATCTTCTTCACTCTGGGCTGACTTCTCGGTTAATAGAGTTACTTCTTTCACTAAGATTTTTCCTTTACCAATATGGTTTGGTCTATCATCTAGATATATCTGGTCAGAACAAAAACTTTGTCGTTTATGTGCTCTCGTGGGTTGTCATCGTACTGATTTTCCTCCTGGTCAAGGTAAACTTCATAATGTGGATTTTTTTATTTGTGTAGCCATGTATAGTAGTAGCATAATACTTCATTGTTCAACATCATTAAGTTTCTCTTCGCATAAGTCAACTGTACGAACTTGTCATCAGGTTGTGAACGTAGGGAGGCAATATCTCAGTGCTAGTTATCACCTCGCGTTCAGGCTTTTTAAAGCCCTTCTTTTCCTTGGAGTCATGGCAACAATAGTGGCTCTATCAATCATATGCGATCTATCTGTGCGGGATCTGGTTGTTTGTTGTCTGGCCTTTCTGCCTACTGGTTGGGGCTTAATATTGGTAAGTTCAGAAAGACTTCTGTATATCCTTATAGTTTAAGCTTTCCCATTTCTTCATTTTTCTCATATTATATTTTGGACGAGGATGGGAGAGATTGGTCGGCCCATGTGTGTATATTATTTGGAGGATTTCTTACCTGACTCTTTTTCTACCCTTCTTAGTATTTACATTGATTTGTCGTTCAGGTTGCACAAACTCTGAGGCCTAAGATTGAGGGAATGGGATTGTGGCAATTTGCTCGGGTTTTTGCTCGAGCTTATGATTATGGGATGGGCATAGTTCTTTTCGCACCCATAGCGATTCTGGCATGGCTCCCTATTATTTCTGCTTTTCAGACGCGTTTCCTTTTCAACGAGGCTTTCAGCAGGAGATTGCAAATTCAACCAATTCTTGCTGGAAAGAAGAAGCATTGATTGATGACCATTATACTGTCAAACTTTGGGTGCACAGATCATTCGTGTACATATATAAAAGGAAAAGTAAATTCATGTATAGTCATGATCAATATCACAAACCACAGTATACATTGTGCACTTTTTGAATCTTGGTGTATGTGCTGAATTTTGGTGATTAACTATTCTGATTTGGTTATAATAAATAATGTTACAATTTAATGACTAAGATTGAGATTGCGAAATTATGTGCGTCTTCTACTAGTAGTAACATCTTGGGTCGCATTATTTGCAACGAGGGTCCTCAGAGAAAGGTGTTTGTTGCGATACCAATTATAACAATCACTTCGAATATAACTCGTCCTTAAAACTAACTTGTAAAGGAGAGTGCCCAAAATGCTTATTCACCAAGAAAATCATTCCACTAGCAGTGTTCAACACTATTAGATTACATATTTTCTTCTCAATTATCGTCCTAAAATGGAGATTTTTTTAGTACGGACAAATTAGTGAATTTTAAAATTTATTGAAAAGAAGTCTACATTCTTTGTAGTATTAGCTGAAAGTCTGAAACAAAGGGCTTGTTAACTGACCCCATGTTAAGAGTCATTCTTAGAGGAGATTTTAATAGAATTAGGGAAAGTGCTTGGTCAAGTTCTTTGGATTCCAAGCAATCCAGAGAAGGTCCCCTAAGACACCTTGTAGGGCGTCGAGTTCCGTTAACCCTGATTGCTACGTCATCGTCTTCTGTAACTGATTCAACTAAAAAGTTTTGTAGAAAATAACTAAATTTCAAATTTCGCATTTATAACGGTAAAAATCTCATCGACAACAAAACTCATTTTAATAA